CCTCCCTTCCCCTCCCTCCTCCCTCTCTCCCTCACGCTCTTTCTCCCTCCCTCCCTTGCTCGCTGTCTCTGAGCTTAGAGGAACCAGCTCTTGAGATCTATGGCCATCAAGAAGATGAAACACACCTTATGTGGTCTATGTAGAAATTAACCCCCAAGAGTGTGTGTGTGTGTGTATTGCAGGGGTATATATTTTCATAAAAAAGGGCAAGGCTGGTTTAAACCAAGGGTTTTCAGTTTAGAAGGGGCCACGGACCCTCCTGGCTCTTTCCCATCATGCACTTTCTAGACAACCTTGGCGTCTCTGTTTTGTACAGCCCTCGGTGGGTGCATCTTTACTTCTTGGGCCCAGACCCGGGGTTTGAGTCTCTCCCGGGTGTGTGTGTGTGTATGTTACTAGTGACTTCAGCTCCGTCCCACTCGGTGTGAAGATTCAATTCCCAAAGGAGGCTCTCTCTCCTCTCTGTCCTCCCCCACCCTTCCAGGTCATGAAGGAGGCTGCTCCGGAGCTGAACGTGAGCAGTTCGGAGGCCGAAGAAGAGCGGGAGGAGGCCAAGGTGGAAGGGGGGGAGCACGATCCGGATTTCAACCAGGTAAATTCCGGTCTTGGTGATAAGAAACCTCCACGCGACTTTCCTGGTCTGGGCGAGCGGGAAGACTTGTGGAAACATGGCGAGGGAGGCAGCCTAGTGTTTGGGGAAAATCCAGAAGGTGGCTTTGGGGAGGGGACTCGGGACCCCCGGCAGCCTGAGTGCAAAGCGAAGGGCCCGGCAGGTCAGGGAAGGGCCTCAGTTTCCCCCCTGGCTGGAATCTCTTCTGCCCCCCCCCCAGGCGAACAGCAACACCAAGCGGCAGAAGGTCTCCCACCCCAACTCCGTGGTCTGCCAGAAGCAGGGCATCCGGCGCAGCACCCGGCACAGGAGGATCCGGGGGGAGAAGGCCCTCCTCGTCTCCGCTAACCAGACCCTGAAGGATCTGAAGATCCAGGTGAGCCCCCCCCCACTCCTGCCCGTGCGCAGAGGGCCCCCATGCTCAGCGCAGAAGCAGCCTGGCAGCTGTTCCTATTGAGGGCTTCTTTTCTCCCTGGCCTTCCGTCCTCCGTTCAGGACACAGGCCCCCAACCTTTGGGGCACCGGGGACCGGTTCCGTGGAGAGAGGTTTTTCCACGGACCGGAGAGTGTGTGGTTTTGTGTGCTGCCTGCATCCCACGGATGGGGCTTCGCTTGTTTGTGCGGACCAGTTACTGGCGTGCTGCGTCCCGGTACCGGTCCATGGACCAGGGGTTGGGGACCCCTGGTTCAGGACACCTCGGAGAATGCAAAGGGGGTGGCCCTCCCTTACTCAGAGAAGCTCCCCTGTTCAGTGTCCCGCCGTGTGTTTCCGGCACAGATCATGCACGCTTTCTCCGTGGCTCCCTTCGACCAGAACCTCTCCATCGACGGGACGGTGCTATCCGACGACGTGGCCACGCTGGGCAGCCTGGGGGTCACGCCCGAGTCCGTGGTCTTGCTGAAGGTGAGAGAGGTGTGGCCTTCCACCTTTCGGTGACTCTGGCTGTGCGCGCCCCAAGCCTTTGCCCTTGGCTGCCACTCCGGTTCGGCTTGGGATGGTCAGCCGGTGATCCCACAGGTGGTCTGTTTCTCTTCCAGTGGGGTGTGTGTATTTGTGGGAGGGGGCAACTTTTGCCCCCATCTAACGCTCAATTTTCCTCCCCCAAAACAGGCTGACGAGCCCATTGTGGACTACGCGGCAATAGATGACGTTATGCAAGGTAACCTCCTCCAGTGTTCCTGGTTTCCCCACCACCCGCCTTTCCGTCACTTTGGTCTGTTGCCAAGCACTCGGGGGGGATGGCGGCTGCGGCCATCAATTCTCCTCCCAGCAAGGTAGACTGCGGTGGGCTCTGGAGGCTTCTCTGACTGCCTTTGTCTTCTTTTCCAGTCTGCATTCCGGAGGAAGGCTTCAAAGGTAGGCCTTGCCCTCCCTGCCCCATCTCTCTCTCTCTGTCTCTCTCCCTCTCTCTCCCTCTCCGTCTCTCTCCCTCTCTCCCTCTCTGTCTCTCTCTCTCCCTGTCTCTCTCCCTCTCTCTCCCTCTCCGTCTCTCTCCCTCTCTCTCCCTCTCTCCCTCTCTCTCTCCCT